GAAATTATGATATATAGATTTGATGATTAGTAAAATTAATAGATTATAGAAAAAATGGATGTTAAATTGAAATCTTACTCTAAGATTTAGTTTAATGTATGTTTTACTTATATCTGCTACAAAAGTTGGAAGTCATTCTTTTTGGGTAGTTCTGTTTCTTTTTCTGTACTTTTGCTTTCTTTCTCTTTTTTCTTTTTTCTATTCTTATTCGTTCTTGTTAGTTTTTAATCTTTCTGTTTGTTAAAATTTAACAAAGTTATAAAAAACAAATGCAATTTGCCATATTACATATAATTTAGGGACTATTTTTCTGAATGATATAAATTATTACTTTAATAATAATTTCAAACTCAGGAAAATATAAAGTATACATTGATTTACTTGTTAAAGAATCTCAAAAATTTAAAATAAAAAACTAAATTTATTTAAAAATTCCAATAATGCTGGCTAAGTTACATTACATCCATTATATTCAGCATACTTCCATGTATATTTACTCAGAGTAACATTTCACCTGTAAAATTTATTTTTGACACTAGTTTGCTTTTATCTTAGGCTTTCAGCTTTGACAGCCTTTCTTAACAGGAAGCTGTTACATTTTGTGGGAATTTGTTGTGATTTTACTGGAAGAACTGGCAAATTTCCATAAAGGATTGGAACTGGTTGAGTCTGATAATTCATACTGCAATAATTTGAACAAAGTGTTAACAAACCAACAAAAAATGTTTAAAGCATTGCTTATCTTAAAAAGTTGGAAACAAAAGAGAGTGAGTCTACAAAAGAACTAGCTAAGTTTATTCCTTATGAAATTTGTTGGGAAACAGAGGAATATACAAGTAAGAATAAATTGGAAAAGAAAACAAACAGCTGTGCCTTATAACACACTGTTGAAATGGACATCTTTTCAGTGTCTGTATTTTATCACTTTTCTTTCCACCCTTTCCCTTGCCTATACCAAAGCGCCACTTTTCTTGTTTACATCCTACTCAGCATGGATTTGGATTTATAGTTTTCAATTTTGCAGTAATATGCCTCTAAAAATGCTTTTAAAAAATAGTAAACCTTGCACTGTTTTGAGCTTCAAGCTCCCTGGGCTATTGCATGTCTCAATATTACTACTAGTCTACAGTAACTAGTGAATTCTTGGGAACCCCATGGATTATATCTTTATCTACTGTAGATAAAGCTAGTCCTCCTATTACAAAACAATGGTGAAATGCCAACAAATAAATGAGGATTATATAAACATATAGAAAGCATTCTTTGGGGAAGAAAAGCCCCAAAGTTAAGTGTAGTATTGCATACCAGTAAAATAAATAGTTACAGATGAACTAAATCCAGCAATGACAAAGAATGAAGTAAATAAAACCCCAATTTGGAATGTTTTCCATTTTCTTGCTCTAGGAGATTGGCTATTCACAGTGTTTTCATTCAGATATGAGTAAAGCTTTATATGTCCAAATATGTAGGTACATACTGTTGAGAAGGACACAAAGAATCCTGAAATTCAGGAGCTGTGAAGATGAATTCTTCTTGCCTGAAAATGTAAGTAAATGCTGGTTAATTTTGTACAGTTCTAAACACTTTCAAGAATTGTAAATCATTGGCTTTTCATTAGGCAAGTACTACAGATAAAGACTGTCATGGGAGAGCTGTAGGGGAAGAGAAGGCTGATATTTACCATGATACAAGACAGACAAGAGAGGTTGAAAATGCATTCTATAAAAAATCAAGTGGAACAAAGATAACATTGGTTCATTAATGAATGGATGTTGTTCAGCCACTTTCAACTCTTCATAACCTAATGAACAACTTGATCACTAGAATAGTTTATCAGTAACTATCCTCTGAGTTCTTGCAAATGCCTATTTGCAATGAATGTATATGCCTGCCAATATATGGCCAGATGGATTACATCCCTGGGTACTGAATGTACTAGCAAAGATCACTGCAGAACAACAGAGTCACTTTGTGTGAGATGGGTGGCTATATAAATGTGACATATAAATAAAATAAACATTCAGAAATCTTTGAGAACTCCTGGAAGACTAGTGAGGTTCCAGAAGACTAGAAGAGAATAAATGTCATCTCCATCTTCAAAAAGGAGGAGGAACCAGGAAGCTACACCTATCAGCTTGATATCTATTCTGAGCAAGGTCTTCAAATAAATTATCAAGCAGCATATTTGTGAGCACTTCAATAAGCGCTCTACAATTAACAGGAATCAGTCTGGGTTTGTTGCACACAAATCATGCTAGTCTAATCTTATCTCCTTCTTTAACAGCATTGTTAAAGGTGATGATTGCCGGCGAGGAAATGTTCTAGTCTTTTGTTTCCTTTTTATTGTCTCTCTTGAATAGTATGTAGATGTTGTTTATTTCTGTGTGCCTGTTGATGGCTGACTTGTCTGAATACCAAGCTTCCAGGTATTTCCTCGCATACTACTTACTACATACTCCTTGGATTTAGCTTGGCCTAAGATGCTGACAGTCTCCCAGTTGAAACTATGGTTAATTCTGTCCATGTCATAACTGAACAAATGGTTGTAGCCTAAGGACTACCTATACTTAATTTCCTTTTCATTCCAATACATATATTCCTAATGATATATTTTTAAAAAAGAATGAAAACCATCATTATCATAGGAAAGCCATAGCTTTAAAAGAGAAATTGTAGGTATTGCAATTTGTTAAAAATACTTGAGTGGAACAGAAGCAACACTTCCAAATTATATATAAATGTTGAAGCCATTTTATTTTCATATTTATTTTTATCCACACTCAGATATTCTGCTTCATAATGTCTCCTATCTGTGTCTCTCAAAGATACATTTTTCACCTCTTCAATCCAAGCTATACACACCTTGTCCTGGCACTTCATTTTCACTGAAAAATGAAGATGCGAAGGACAATTCACTTGCCTGATGAATTTGTGTCAGTTATCAGCACTTTATAATCATAAATATATGTTCTACTCAGGTGCCACTCTTTAATAATAAATGCTGGCAACTATCAGTTTTAAGTACCAGGATTTTGTGTCACTCTATAATGTCAAACCTGAGCAAAGTGAAAGTGAAAAAGTATAAACTATTTTCCGTATTTTATTAGAAGTCATTGCTATCAATGGACAGTACAGAGCAGAAGGGATTCCATCTTGCAAGAATTTGTCTAAGAATTATCTGTATTTACATAATCAAAGGGGTAATTTTAAAAAATGCCTACAGCTGCTGTTTGATTTTGTGGACAGATAGTACAGGTAGTCCTTGTTCAGTTTTGCTTTACAGACCTGCAAAGTTACTTTTTTATCATCGTTGTAACTGTGGTCTCTAAATGAGGAAGTCATTAAACAAGCACTACCTGTACAGGTAGTCCTCAACTTACAACCATTTGTTCAGGGACCATTCAAAGTTACAATGCCACTTAACAAATGGTAGTCACAACTGGTCCTTGAAGTTCCAGCTGTCCTAGCACCCCCACAGTCACATGATTGCAATCTGGGTGTTTGGCAACCAGCTCACACTTAAAACCAGTTGCAGTGCCCACAGTCATGTGATCGCCATTTGCAACCTTCCCTGCTGGCTGCCTTCCTGCGCCTCCCTCGCACCCTCCCTGAGCCTTGCCATGCCTCCTTCGCACCTTCACGCACCTCTGCTTCCATCACACCCTCCTGCAACTCCACAAACCCTCCCTTAGTCTTACTGTGCCTCCCTCATACCCTTGAGCACCTCCCCAAGCATCACTATCTCCCTTGTACCCTCACACTCTCCACAACCCTCACCGTGCCTCTCTTGCACCCTCGTGTACCCCCACACACCCTCCCCAAGCCTCGTTGCATCCCCTCTGCACCCCACACACCCTCCCAGACTCTCGCTGCACCTCCTTCGTACCCTCATACACCCAAACACACCCTCCAGCCTTGCTGCGCCTCCCTCACACCCTCACTGAACCTTACCGTGCTTCCCTTGCACCCTCAGACACACCCCTCATGCCCTCCCCTATCTGGCAGCAGCCACTTTCCTAGCTGTTGGCCTGTCTGCCAGCCGCCTAGGACTTGCAACTTCCTGCCAGATTCCCCACTGACTTGGTTGTGGGAAGCTGGCAGGAAGTTGCCTCGCCTAACGACCATGGGATTTGGTTAATGATGGCAACTAGGACTGCAAGGATTGTTGTCGCTAAGCGATGCAGTTGCCCTTTAGAATCACATTACTTAGCGACAGAAATTCCAGTTCCAGTTGCTGTCCTAAGTCGAGGACTACCTGTAGTTGATACGATCTTCTCTATGGGAGCTCAATGGCAGTTTGGGATCAGTACTCTCTGTATGCCTGGTGACAATAAGGCCATGTTAAGTTCAATGGACCTTGTATCCAAGTTGCAAGCCTAAGCATACTTAACTAGGAATAATTTCTATCAGAGACAATGAGGCTTTCTTAGAAAATGTCTAGCATTAACCGTGACAACTTTTGAATTACATAAAGATGATAAAGCATTTTAAAACTTTCTACATGATTTATGTGCAGCAAAAAAGAGTTTGGGAAAATGGCTGATAATGATGAATGTTAGGATGAATGCTCAAAGCACACAGGAGAAACAAAATCTGCAATTTGTTACAGGTCCTCACTTTCTGAAATATCTGACAATTTCCAATTGCAATTAATTTAATCCTGATGGGTATTTCTTCACAAGAAACAGCAGCTTTTCATGCATTCTAGTATTTTAAGTAAATCCTTTATTTTGCAGTGTGCTATTGAGTCTAAATTACTCCTCATATATTAAGATTCATAAGCAATATATTTGAGACAAAAGAAACCAGAAGGGACATCTGGCGCCATTTCATGAAAACATTTTTTATTGCTAAAACAATAGCTTCCTGTAACTTCTCTCCATTGTTTTATGTTTTTATACTGCTAATAAACATAGCAACTGTTGCCTCTATCCCATAAACACTTTTTAAAAAGCTACTGACCTGGTTTAAGCACGTAAAATAAAGTAGAAATTCAATTCAGGGCACAATTTTTTTTCTTTTCTTTTTTTGTGGTTAACATACACCAAGAAATTGGTGAAAATCAGCAGAAATATTTGAGAGTATTACTTGTCAGGACGAAATAGAGAGAGATATTTAAACCATCATCCATCCTGACAGCTTATTACCAGCAAATAGTAAGATGTGTCATTACAAGCCATTGTGCTGGATTTTGTGTCACAAAAGTATATGTATGTTTCCAAATGACAGCAGAATGACTGCTAAAGATTGTGATTTATAATGACTTTAATAGCAACAACCTCCACTCGACTGGGTTCAACCATTATTTCCAGTGCAAAGTCTAGGAAATACTAATAACAAAGAGCTGCTTTTAACAAACTGAGCATTGCAACAAATCCCTAAGGAATCATAAAAGACCTTCCCTCTTTTACCTAATTCTATATAATTAACTCTACATGCACAGACACAAGGGCTGTAATAATGTCCAGTCATAATCCCTTAAAGTAAATCCAGAAGAACTAATTTATTTTTGAATAAAGAGTTCTTCTGGCCTATGCTATAAAGGGTACTTGACATAAGGTAACTAAAAATGAGGTCGCCTTGTTCTTTTTTAGATTTTTCAATGTATACATTTGTTTCAACATATTTGTTTTTTTGATTAATTTTTCTTTTTCTTTTAATTTTGTGTCTGGTTATTTTTCTTTTCCCTTCTCTTTATATAGTACAAGCATTTTTAAAACTTTAAAAACATGAAAGAACATTTTTAAAATTTACCTCTGGTTGAAAATACAATGTTAAACTGATATGTCAAAATATCTCCATTAACTATTATTGAAACATTGAAAAGAAGATGCCAATGTTGTTCCGTATTAATTTCGCATTTGTGTGTGCTAAATTACTTTGGTTCAATGAACCCACCCATTATGGTCTAGAAGAGTGTTTCTCAACATGCTGGCTGGAAAAATTCTGGAAGCTGAAGTCCACACATCTTCGAGCTGCTACGGTTGAGAAACACTGGTCAAGAATTCTCAGCATTGGCAGTGTGGCCAAGAATTCTGGGAACTGAAGTTGGAAGGAACTTGGGTTGAAAGGAACTCAAGTTAGGGAAGCCTAGGCTAATGACTTTACTAAATTTCTGCTTAATATGTTGGAGAGGATAGCAGAGTTTTGAAAATATTTGTCCAAACTGGTAAAATTAGCATTAAAATTGCAAAGATAGATTAAGTGTAAATGCACAGGATTTTAAAAATCCTATTCATTTATATCAACACATCTCTCTTCTATTCTATGTAGGCATAATCTTACTTTTGTTATCATAATCTTACTTAAATTGATCATAATCCTCAACTCTAACCCTAAACCTCAACATTCATTATTCATAAATCCTTCTTATTCAACATCATAAGCTCAAATATTTTTAGTTCATATTTATAAAAACAGTTGCATATTTGTAGCATATAGTTATTAGAGATAATGTAAAGTGCTTTATATTTCATGGACTCATCCTCAAAGGAACAGCATTGCAGCAAGCAATGTGTCCCCCAGTGAACACTTAAT